GAAAGACAAAACCACCAAATGGAAGAAAAATAAACCAAATATGCAAATTCGAGTACGTTCCCATAATATTATTACACATTTACCTGGTCCTAAACAAAATGCACGTAATGCCAAATTTGAAATTGATTGTTTAAAATTATTTATAAACGATAATGTAATTTGTTTAATCACCATTTCGACTAATATATACATTGAAAGTATAAAAGCAAATTTTCAACGTGAATCTGACGCTAGATTGACTGATGAGAGAGAAATTAATGCATTTATTGGAATTTTATTTTTGATTGGGGCTTTAAGGTGTGCGAGAAAAAATGTTCATCAAATTTGGGATAATTCTAAAGGTAGTGGAGTTGAAGCATGTTATTTAGCAATGAGTGAAAAACGTTTCAGATTTTTAGTTAGATGCATCCGTTTTGATGACATAAATAATAGAAATGAAAGAAGAGAAATCGACAAATTAGCACCTATAAGAGAAGTATTTGAATATTTTATTGCGAATTTTCAAAATAATTTTATAGCAAGTGAATAACTAACGGTTGATGAACAATTATTAGCGTTTCGAGGTCGTTGTTCATTCAAACAATACATTCCTAGCAAACCGGCCAAGTATAGATTAAAAATGTTTGCGTTAGTTGATGCCAAAACAGCTTATACATTTAATCTTGAAGCTTATGTAGGTACTCAACCTGAAGGGCCATATAAATGTAAAAATTCTGGTGAAGATATTGTTCTTAGACTTGTACAACCAGTAGAAGGAAGTAACAGAAATATTACAGCTGACAACTGGTTCACAAGTTTTCCACTAATAAAAAAATTAAAACACAATAAAAAATTAACATATACAGGCACTATAAGAAAAAATAAAAAAGAGCTACCATCAGAGTTTTTACCAAATAAAAATAGAGAACTGCATAGCTCGATTTTTGGATTTCAAGAAGATTATACATTAGTCACTAATGATTAGTGTCATATTGTCCCAAAAAAAATAAAGCTGTATTAGTTGTGTCAAGTATGCACAATGACGACACAATTGACGAAGAAAATCATGCAAAAAAACCTGAAATGATTACTTTTTATAATAAAACTAAGATCGGTGTTGACTTAGTAGACCAACTATGTGAAAAATACAATGTGGCTAGGAATACTCGTAGATGGCCAATGGTTATTTTTTATGATCTACTGAACATATCTGCTATAAATGCTATTTGTATATACAAAGCAAACAATTTAAATTCAAAAATTTCAAGAAGGCAATTTATTGAAAATATTGCATGGGAACTACTGAAACCTCAAATTGAGTACAGATCAACGATTACTAAACTACCAGTAGAATTAAGACGACGTGCACGTGTACTTCTAGGTATCGAAGAGCCTTCAATTTCAGAAATACCAGAAAATCTTCCAAATTATGTGGGTCGATGTTATGTATGTCCACGAAATAAAAACAAATCAACCAGAAGATTTTGTGGCCAATGCCGAAAATATGCGTGTAAAGAGC